TGGGCGAAAATGCACTCACTCTTCTTGTTGTTCCCTGGGCGGCAGGATGAACCACTCAGCAACATACATTTTAGCTTCTCAGAGGCGAGTGTTTTCGCATTTTCTGCACAGGAGACGCCAGCCATCGATCCCAGGGACGTGGAAAAGGTATTTAAACCTCCTTGAAAGGATTGTGTTTCTGTGTGTGGTTGTGAAAGATGCAGTTTTTTTTTTTGGAGGTAGCAGAAGCAGTGTTGGTAAGGGATGAGTAATGTTGTGTGCAATGCGTATGGAAATCGCTCTAATTTTCGAGTGTCATCTCTTAGAGTGCGTGGATATGAGGGTATATATACCCCGTGGTTACTAAGGCAAGGTCTGAATTTTTTAGATTTGACAAACAGCACAAGCATATACACTGCGTCTTCTGAATCAGGGGAGATAACCCGGAGGTGTAGTCTAGACAGGTGAAAGCGGACTGTAGGTTATATAATTAGACGGGGCTGTCATATTTCATTCGAATGCATTTCGTGTGATATAATAATGACGATTCATAATGGTGGGTGTTTTTATTCTTGCTCATATTATATTGTTACCATTATTATCCACATACGCAAACATACGTACGTACGCACGCCTTCACACGCACACACACACCCACCTACACCCACTCCCATCCCCCCCCACACACCATCCACACTCACACCCCACACACACACACACACACACACACACACACACACACACACACACACACACACACACACACACACACACACACACACACACACACACACACACACACACACACACACACACACACACACACACACACACACACACACACACACACACCTCCAACACACACACAACACACACACAGTACACACACCACATGTCCACATATGACCCATTCTAGTAATGAGTAGTGGTGGTTTGTTTGCTTCCCTCGTGATAAGATAGGCTATCAATAACTGCCGTGAAAATAGACGTATATTATCCTGGAGTGCATAGATAATTTCCAAGTTAAAATACAAACAACCAAAAAACACGACAGAAACAGTAATTACAAATAGAATAAAGACAAAGAAATGATAACGATAGAAACAGAAAAAAATGATAATGATAGAAACAAAGTATGGCTGCAGCTCTATCGTATGTATATCTATGCATACGTAATTGTATATCTATCTCTATCTATCTAGCAGTAGCATACATATATTTGTATATATGTATACTACTGCCTCATGCACTTATCTTTCCTTCTTTGCTAATGTTGACAGTATTACAGTGAGAGAAATTAACACTCGTTTAACTGAAGATAATTAAAAGGTAATGCAAAGTAAAGTTCTAAACAGAGAACAGTTATTAGAGAATTGGGGTGTAAGATTTCCAACTGGTAATCATATTGTTTGTAATTACATCGGTCTCGAACAACCCTTAATACCCAATCAGAGTGCAGGGTTTTGGAAAGGGGGTGGGGCCTATTGGACATTTCTATAGTAATTCCACCATAGAATGCGAGTTTACTATATACATATATTTTATTTAGATAACCGTCTCTTCGGGTTTTAATGTCTATAAACCTTAAATATTTGAAAACTGAATAAATTCTGTAGGCGTGTGAAGTATTTTATTGCACTGAAGCTTCAAATACAACAATAACAGCAAGATTTATTACCTATTTTGTTTACTACACCAAACAAAAGCAGATATGCACCCACGTCTCCCTCCTGCAGGTGGCTGAGCGGCGCGCCCTTCGAGTGGAGCTACGTGTCGACGCCGAGCTCGGAGCCGCTGCTGGGCCTCTCCATCGGGCAGGTTGTGGACAGGGCCGAGCGGCGCTTCGGGGACAGGGAGGCCGTGGTGTCGGTCCATCAGGCCGTGAGGAGGACCTTCTCGCAGGTCAAGGAGGAGGTAATGGCGGAGGGAAGAGGAAGGGGTTCTGGTGCCTGAGTTGAGTGTCACTTGGATTCGTCCCTCGCTTTTCAATATGGCGTCGATCTGTCGGCCAAGTTGCCTCTAATCGTAAGAGCTTTCCCTGTGGCGATGCCGTCCTAACGAGGCGCCCTGTGGCCCTGTGTTCCGTCGGCAGAGCGACCTCGTGGCCGCGGGATTCCTGGCGGCAGGACTGGAGCCCGGGGACCGCCTGGGGATCTGGGGACCCAACAGCTACGAGTGGTACCTCACGCAGTTCGCCGCCGCCAAGGCTGGCCTCATTCTGGTAAGGAAAAGAAAGGGAGGAAGGAAAAGAAAAGGTAAGGAAAGGAGAGAAGAGGAGATGAAGGGGAAAAGGAGAGGAAAGGCAAGGGAGAAGAGAAAAAGGGAAGGGGTGAAGAAGGTAAAGCTACATGCAGAGACCTGATGGTAATGCTACTGCTCATATCAATCAGCTGTTCGATCAGTTAAATTCTGAACCTTTTTTTCGAATCAGTGGAAATTAGATTTCATTTGATATCAAATTAAGAATTCTCTCTTTTTGCTTTATCAATCCTAGCCCAAAAGTAAAGTACAAAAATGCCATTCTGGAAATGTATGCATTTTACATTATATTTTATGGGTAAAAACAGGATATTTTGATATCTCACCCATGTCTTGCATTTTTCTTTCCGATACATAATGAAAACAGCGTTAATCTTGGTGTCGGCTTCTTAATCATACAAGAAGTGTGACTAGAATTAATATACCATCATACCACACAAACATACTTTAAGCACACCCACGCGCACGCACTGTCTACAAGAACCAAACAAGTTTTTAGGTCAAAACACTTTCTCATCAGTCTCTCAATGTGCAAAAGTTACTGAAAATTCTTGTTATTTCTATTTTTCTAAAATAAAGGTAAAACTTATCACTTTACATTAGAAGAGACAAAACAATATTTGAAATTCCCAATTACTTGTAATAGAAATAATGAAATAATGATAATAGTGGTAACAGTAACAACAACAAAGACGAAGTGATGAAGCCAATGACAGGGAGAGTGACAAGAATAATAAAGTAATATATATATATATATATATATATATATATATATATATATATATATATATATATATATATATATATATAAGCTTGACAGACGAGTACTCAAAACGGCAGTCGAACAGAATCTCTTTCTTTCCCGGGCCCACACTTTTTCCCCTTTCGCGACCCAGCTGCAAGGTTATGCAACCAAAAACTCACTGTCATACGTTAACCCTTTCATGAATGAAAATATAGCAGTCAAAGACACGTTTGGACATCAGTTGCAACGTCCCTCAGGTGCAATAATCAATTGCAATTTTCAGGTTAACATCAACCCCGCCTACCGTCCCAATGAACTCGAATATTGCCTCAACAAAGTCGGCGTCAAAGGCATTGTGTGCGACGAGAAGTTCAAAACGTCAGAGTAAGTTAGATGAGATTATGTTAGTAAGTGAATATTGCTTTGATACTGTATTCGTTATCATGTTTTTTATCGGGGTTGTTGGTGTAAGATATATGTATATATTCTTTTTATTTTTTCGTTTTCACTTTTGTCGTACTAATAGATGAAGAATAGACAGAGATCAGCATAATAAAAGATGAACAAAGAGTATAACATAAAAAATTAATTAGAAAGTGGAAACATTTCGAATCCAGACAAATATATATTTTTTTTAATTTGCAGTGAAATAAATGGAATAAAAAATGTTTTATATAAAAAGCAAGCGTTTTGTTTCATCTATGTTTATTTTATTTTCGTAATGTGTCAATATATTGTTTTATTTGTGCCATTGTCATTTTCTTACTGCCTCAGTATTTCAGTTTATCTGTAGTTATAATTTCCGTATTGTGCCAATGTTTTATTTTAACTGTCATGATCTTCTTATTGTGGTAGCATTTTAACTTTCGTCCTATTGTTTGTTATATCTCCGTAAATACGTTACGTTTGTGTTTATATTTTATGTCCTTCCCAGCTACTACAAGATGCTCTGCGCCGTGGCCCCTGAACTGCCTTCCTCCGCGCCTGGTGACCTAAGTAGTTCCGCGGTTCCCTACCTCAAGAAAGTATTTATGTGTTCTCAAGAAAAGCTCAGGTGAGATTTGTTTTGGAATTGTGAATGGATTATTTTATACGATTATGTTTCGTGTGATTTTAGTAACTTTTTGAGTTGTGGATGCATGTTGAGTACGAGTGAGATAGGCCTATGTGCGGAGTGATTTTGTACACGTCTTCAGGCTACAAGAATGAATGTTCCTGTTTTGCGTCCAGGCAAAAATGAAAACAGATGAGACTATTTTCCATTACTTATTCATTATTTATTCCTATGGGCATTTTAAGAAGAGAACAGCTTTTCCGTCACCAAATCAGCTTGGTTCGTGTTGGTAACCATGACACTTTTCATTCATATTCACTAGTAAAAGTATTTTCTCTCTCTCTCTCTCTCTCTCTCTCTCTCTCTCTCTCTCTCTCTCTCTCTCTCTCTCTCTCTCTCTCTCTCTCTCAAAAAGAACACCTTTCCTAAGTCATCAAATCATATTTTTAGGGAATTAATGAAATTTAATGCAAATAATATTTTTTTGGCATGCGTTGTCTGGACCTGCGGGTGGACGCAAAACAGGAACTTAGCTTCTCATGGCCCTATTATATGTCATGACTTAACTATACCTTTTTGAAAGCTTCTTTATCCTATATATTTCTGGCTAGTTTCCTGTTGGCCATAAGAATTTATAAACTAACTTCTATTGTCAATTTTCAGTGGCACCTTCCGATTTCAAGATCTTTACGGTGCGGGTGAAAGTTCCCACCGAAAAAGGGTAGATGAACTGTCCTCTAAAATACAGTTTGATTCAGCCTGCAACATTCAGTTTACATCCGTGAGTACTTATGGTTGCTGTGATGGATCAGTTTATTACACAAAAAAGCCGTGTAGTTTATAGTAACTGCAAAATATTCAATTTTAAGTTCTATTAGGGTTTTTGTTAGGAAATTCCCTTTTTGGCTTGTTTACCTATAAATCTCCCTCACTGGGTACCGGAAACTGATATTTCGAAGGTTTACATGAGGTTTCCCCGCCTCTGTCCACCACCCGCTTTCCAAACGTGTGAATTTGTACACAATTTGATGCCGATGTTTGTCCGAAGACACAAGAAGCTTACTAGAAACGGATCTTGTCTCGTTTCAGAAATATAATACTTAATGTTTAATAGTGAGATTTCGTTTTTCATTTTTATTTTTGTAAATCAATTTGATTAAAATATTTCTATAGCAAAAAAAGTAAAGTTTTGAATTAAATATTTCACTTTGCTTGTATTCTTTTTTGTATACCACCAAAACCTAGTCTTCTAATTGTACTCTATCATATTACATACATTCTTACATTTAGATAGCCAGGCATGAAGACTACACTATGAGCCGTATTTACAAATTTATACAAGAAAAAATGAATATAGTTAAACAATCCATTTCAGGGAACGACCGGGTTGCCCAAAGGAGCTGTTCTGTCTCATCACATGCTGGTTAACAACGCCTACTCGATCGGAGGCCGCACCGAATATCAGAAAAAGGTGAACTTGTTTTTATATTTTTGGGTTTCAAGCATGACGGAGGTGGTTCTTGTTTCGTAAATTCATTTTGGAATATTACCGGAAAGAAATGTTCAAGATGAGGAATTGGTTCATGGACGAAATACATTTTATTACGAAATCAAGTAGTAATTATATTAAACTACGGTGAGAGAAGAATTAATTGGGTGATTTGGTAATTTCAGCCTCACCGTATATGCATCTCCGTGCCTTTATATCACTGTTTTGGCTGCATTGGAGGCACCCTTTGCGGCATGCTGTATGGGGCGACCTCTGTCCTTCCTAGTGCTGGCTTTGACCCCGAAGCCATCGTCAAGACACTCGAAAGTGAGAAGTAAGTGCGATTTTGTTATTAATTCTGTTTCAGATGCCCCACTCCATCAAAATGGAAAAGCAAAGGGTTAGAAAAGAGCGAATCTGCTTGTTTTTTTAATTATTATTTCAGTTATATCTGCGCAAAAGCCTTTCATCACAAAAGCTAAAAATAACGTACCAAATAATTCAAGAAGCAACAGACCGTGGCGCTTCGATTCAAAATAGAATCCTAATTAGACGAATATATATATTTTTTTAGATCAGCTCTCGAAATAAGACAGTTTACTAGTTAGCTATTTATCTTATCAGCCTTTATAATTTTCACGAATTCCTCACCAAACAGAATCACCTCCTGCTACGGAACGCCCACCATGTTTGTTGACATTCTGAACGCCTACCGCAAGAACCCGACCGATCTGAGCGCCATCTCGACGGGAATCATGGCAGGCGCTCCTTGTCCTCAGGAACTGGTGATGGCCGTCATGAACGACCTCAAGATGAAGGACTTTTTAGTGAGCAATGATTCGTTATTGTGTTGTTTCTGTTAAATATATCGAGAGTAGGATAATAAGGTGATAATTAAATGATAATATTGGTATTAAGCAATGACTGTGGCCATAATTGATGCAATAATTATAATATCCTGAATTAACCAAAATGGCGTTAATGGTGATAGCAGTTAACAAGATAACAGATAACAGCAGATAGGGATAACCATGACGATGACCCTCGCCCTCTGCAGGTGATGTACGGGATGACCGAGACGAGTCCCGTGACCTTCCAGTGCTTTCCTTCAGATCCTCCAGAGGTCAGGTCATCCACCATCGGCTACCCGGGAGACCACATCGAGGTATCGGTTCTTTACGAATATTCCTAACTTACATGTTTGAAGATTCACCTTATGTATTTTCTTTTTCATTTACCGACAAATTTACACCAAGCAAAACCAGATCAGCTGATTCCCCGTCCCGTTCGGCAGGTGAAAGTGGTTAACGAGCCCAGGAAATATTTGCTATTCTTATTCCTTTCCTTTCCTCATGCATTTATAAATAGGTAGAGATATTACTATATAAAAATTCACTGTCATTACTATTCTAGCTTCCTCATCCAACTCATATATATTTTCATATTCACCCTATATATTTTCTTTTTTTCACCTACGAATATATTTACACCAAACGAAGCCAGATCAGCTGATTCCCAATCCCCTCGGCAGGTGGTCGACGAGCCTGGGGAAATATTTGTTTTGCCTATTCCATTATCGTCCTCAAAAAATAATAGATAGATAGATAGGGATATTGCCACATAAGAATATCTTGCCATTGTTAGGTTAGCTTATATTTCCAATATATTATCATACTCACCTTATATACTTTTTTCCCCATTTACCAATACATTTAAACCAAACAAAAGCCAGATCAGCTGATTCCCCGTCCCCTCGGCAGGTGAAGGTGGCCAAAGAGATTATACTTGGTATGGCTATTTTTTCCTCGTGCAGAGATAAATAGGTATAAATATTGCCGTATAAAATTAAATGCCATTATGATTTAGCGTCCATTTCTAACCCATACACTTTCGTTATCACCCTATATATTTTCCTTTTTCACTTAAGAATATATTGACACCAAACGAAGCCAGATCAACTGATTCCCCGTCCCCTCGGCAGGTGAAGGTGGTCGACGAGTCCGGGAAAATCCTTGCTCTGTCTATTCTATTATCTTCTTCAATAATTATATATATATATATATATATATATATATATATATATATATATATAGATAGATAGATAGATAGATAGATACGGATATTACTACATAAGAATATCTTGCCATTATTAGGTTAGCTTATATTTCTAATATATTATCATACTCACCTTATATACGTTTTTCCCCATTTACCAATACATTTAAACCAAACGAAGGCAGATCAGCTGATTCCCCGTCCCCTCGGCAGGTGAAGGTCGACGAGTCCGGGGCGATCGTGCGCGCGGGCGAGGCGGGCGAGCTGCTCGTGCGAGGCTACTGCAACTTCCTGGGCTACTGGGACGACCCCGGGAAGACGAGGGAGATCGTGACGGAGGACAGGTGGCTGAGGACGGGGTGGGTGGCTCGTGGTTTCATCGTTGTGGGGGTGATTCGGCGATGATAATAATAGGGATAGTAAAGATGATAATGATAATGCTGATAGTGATAATAATGATAATAATAATAATGAGGTAGTTCGTGGTTTCATCGTCGTAGTGGTGATTCGGTGTTGCTGTTGTGGGTTATCGCTTAGTTTGTAATAATGGTCATGATGATGATGATGGTAATGATAATGATTATGATAGTGATAATAATTATGATAATGATAATAATGATGATAATAATAATGCTAATAATGCTAATAATAATAATGAGGAGGGCGGGGTGGTGGTGACTTTTTTGGTAACTGTCGGTATGGGAAATGTTTATTTTTTATTTATTTTATTGGAATGCTCATGTTAGCTTGATTACGATTCACAGCCATTTTCATAGTCAGTCGGCCGGTTATTTAAAATTGTGCGAGGCACGACCCAATGAATATTCGTATATATGGACATGCATTTACTCTAGAAATAAATGCATATTTGTCTATTTGTCTGATAGGTATACATTCATCTACCTATCTATACGGTAGATATGCATGTCTAGATTGATAGATATCTGTTCATATCTATTTAAAGGCACGTATGTATAATGAATTTGTTTTGGGTCCGGCATCGCGCAATGTAAACAAACCGGCCATGTTGGGAAAGATTGTGTCAAACCGAACTATTGAATGCCATTTACAACGGTCGTATTCCCAGTCGCTCTCAAAGACCTTTATTCGTCGGGGGAGGTTCGGGGTCACCAACACGAGAAAATAATATATTTAATTATCAGTAAATCAACCAGGATTGCAGAGTCTTTACTTTAAGACTCGTGGCAACTCTCCTGCCTGGGTGTTTTTTTACCTATATATATACAAGTATGCATGGAGTTTGTCTGGCATGCTCGCCCGCTTATCCGAAAATTCCTTTATCAAAGATTAATTTAAATATTCATCTATAGCATAATCATCCGTGTGTTTGCGTAAAATACTCTATCTAATGATTGTGGTAGGTTAACATGAACATATCAATGCTTATGGAAGTTTAAATAACAATACATGCAGTTTTGGGCATTTGGTCTGAGAATACGTGCATTAAATTGTATATGCATTGAGGGCAAAATAAATGTTCTTCGTGAATATTTAATAGGGAGAGGGTCATTAGTATATGGTAATTATTGTAATTTCTGAAATATGTAACAGGTCAGCAAACACTACGGGGAAAGCTATAGGACGGTACAGACCTCCCTAAATGATACAGCTCAAGTCTTCAAAACACGCACACAGACACACGCACACGGGCACACACACACACACACACACACACGCACACACACACACGCACACGCACACACCACACACACGCACACACGCACACACACACACACACACACACACACACACACACACACACACACCACACACACACACACACACACCACACACACACACACACACACACACACACACACACACACACACATACACACACACACACACACACACACACACACACACACACACACACACACCACACACACACACACACACACACACACACCCACACACACACACACACACACACACACACCACACACACACACACACACACACACACACACACACACACACACACACACACACACACACACACACATGTTATTTACGTTATAAAGAATTTAGAATTATCATTATAATGATAAATATAATGAAGAAGCTGCCACTGATTATAAGGTGATGATGATGATAACGATAATAACAATAGAAATAACGGCTTGCACTCAACATTTCAGCGACCTCGCCCTCATCCAACCCGACGGATACGGCCGGATCATCGGCGCATCAAGGACATGGTCATCCGCGCGGCGAGAACATCTACCCGGCGGAGGTCGAGAACTTCTTCATGGGTCACCCGGACGTGATCGAGGCGGCAGGTGGGGCTTGGGTTGTGGATTTGGGTGTCGGGGTGGGTATAGATGGGATTTGGGGCGGGGTGGGGGTGGAGGGTGTTGTGTATGGTGGGGTTTAGGTGGGTGGTTATGGAAGGGATGGGATGGGAGGGGGGGGGTGTTATGGATTATGGGGTTAGGGGGTGGTTATTGAAGGGAGGACGGAGGGAGGGAGGGGTGTTATGTATTATGGGTTTAGGTGGGTGGTTATAAAAGGGATCGGGGGGGGGGATATGTATGATGGGGTTAGGTGGGTGGTTATGGAAGGGAAGGGGGGTATTATGTATGATGGGTTTTTGTTGGTGTTTATAGAAGGGATGGGGGGGGGGTTATGTATAATGTGTTTAGGTGGGTGTTTATAGAGGGAAAGGGGGGGGTGTTATGTGTATAATGGGTTTAGGTGGGTGTTTATTGAAAGGATGAGGGGGGTTATGTATGATGGGTTTAGGTGGGTGGTTATGGAAGGGATGGGGGGAGGGGGGCTGTTATGTATTATGGGTTTAGTTGGGTGTTTATAAAAGGGGGGGGGGGGTGTTATGTATTATGGGTTTAGTTGGGTGTTTATGGAAGGGAGGGGGGAGGGGGGTGTTATGTATTATGGGTTTAGTTGGGTGTGGTTAAGGGCGGTTTTTGGTTGTTGATTTTTTTATTTGAGGACACGGAGTTCGGTAGTTTGGTTTTGTTATCAGGAGCTTCGGAGTCTGATATGACGTGTGATTGTACTAAATATATAGAATATATGTAAGTTTACGATGATAGATATGTTAGTAATTTTATACTTGTTCTTGCCTGTTTGTATTTTCAAAATTTCGAGGCAATGAGGGAATTTACCCATAATCATAGTATGCAAGAGACCAATATGTCAAAATTTTAGCCATTATTACCAGAAATTCTCATGTAATTTTCTTCCCATAACACTGGAAAACCTCCTTCGGACACAGGTGTTCGGAGTGCCCGACGCCAGGATGGGGGAGGAGGTGGCGACTTGGATCAGAAAAGCCGAGGATTCCAGCCTTTCGGACGCGGAGCTCCGGGAATGGTGCAAGGGGAAGGTATGCGCTTCTTCGTCCCTTCGTTATGGATTTTATTGCCTCTTGTACTCGGGAAATTGCAGTTAATTTATGCCGAAATAAAAGATCAGCGAGTGTTTTTGATCACTGAATTAGGATTCAATGACAAATATCAGTTATTCGACTTAACTAAATTTACACGTATACCCAAGAACACGATTCATTTTATGCTAAGAACTAAATATAAACGACACATTTAATTCTGACAGGAAAAAAACACATCCATATTTACAACTATCCAAAAAAATTCCTCCTTTCGAAACATTTAATTATAATAGACGGAAAAAAATCACATCCATATTTACAACTATCCAAAAAAAAAAATCTAAACATTTAATTATAATAGACGGGGAAAATCACATCCATATTTACTACTACCAAAAATTTCCTCCTTTCGAAAAATCTAATTATGATAGACGGAAAAAAACTCACATCCATATTTACAACTATCTAAAAATTTCCCTTCTTTCGAAATTCCAGATCGCCCATTATAAAGTCCCCCGATACGTGCTGTTCAAGGACGAGTTCCCACGGACGGTCACGGGCAAGATACAGAAGTTCAAGATGCGGGAACTGACCATCGAGGAGCTGAACTTGAAGACGTAGAGAGCTTTCTAAGAATAGGATCTTGGATGTTCTTTTATGAGCTGATGCTTTGGAAGTACGGTATGAGATTAGGATAGAGAGTGTAATTGTGTGTTTGGTGGTCATGTGAGTGTATTCGAAATGAGTTTCATTGTCAAGATGAATTTACAATTTTTATTTGTGTTTTATTTGTCCCTTTCATTGGCAAACAGCCAAGTCATAGATATGATATACCTTTTTAAATATAATGTACATATGCTCCTAGACCTCATATATGACGCTAGATTTGTTCACATGTTTGCAATTTCAAGTTGTTATGTATTGGGAACATTACCGGGTCCCTAACCAATGGTTGGTATATATTATTTAGCTGAAAAAAGTTGTAAGATTGAAATAATTCTCATTCATAGGAAGTTTATTTGACTGACTAGAAAAATAAAATAAATTTTTGCATCAGAAAAATAATTCTCTTACACAGCACTATTTGGAGAACACATAATTATCATCCGAAAACACAATTGCAATAAACGTATAAGAACACATTTTCTTCACACAAAAAAATCTACGCATTCCAGTATTTTGAAATGCCCCTCAAAGGAAATAAGCATCATTCTCACTACAAAAAGCAGTGTATGGGTACATTATATTGACCAGTGTTCTACAGATTAGCCGTTTGGTTACATATATGTATTGGAAAGTAAGCTGTAAGGGCATATATATACTTGTATATAAGAAATTCTTGAGGAGGTATTTGGTATATGAAAGTAGGAATATAATAAACCATAATGTAGCTAAGTAGCCACTTGGTTACGCAAAAGGTGGGGGTAAAATTTTGAGTTGTCATATGGATACATTATAATTTCCATCGTTGTCTAGGATAATTAAAAACAGGTACCTCTTTTCTGTCCCTAATTGCACTGATGTATACCCAATAAAATCACACACAAAGGTCAATCAGAATCTCTCTGAAATATGAAAATAAGAATTCACCTTGAGAGGGTAATAGTGGCCTGTAAACAGTCGTATGGTTACTTTGCCATGCAGTCATCCATTTTCTTCAAAGGCAAACTGCTTTAGAAAAATATGCCCTGAAATTTGGTGATGCCACATGGCAACAACTCAAAGGGTTAAATCGTTTCGTACATTTTCATTCATCACATATATTCGAATTGGTATCTAAATGATTGGTATTTACAAGTGATGGAGCACGATATATTTCCCAGGGTTTTTCTGAGGATCGCCAGAAGGTCTTCAAAGAAGAATAAAAGAATCCATATGTCAGTAAAAGTTAATGTTTTTTTTTTTATTAACACTTGTTTATTGAGATTCAATGTGTTGGGAATATAAACTTAGAATGACGTAAGCTAATATACAGCTGCAAGTATAACTGCCATGAAATTGTTTGGATATATTACTACATGTTCACACATTTAGGGTCGCTAGCCCAGGATAAGGCTGTCTAAGGTCGCACCCAAAAAAGTTTGGGAAACACTGGCCTAAAGCATCACCTCAAGGCTTGTCTAAACAAGCGGGGATGACTGGCGGGCACGAAGAGAGATGACGTCACGGGCGGCCAAAGTACTGGTAGTTTCCTGGTTGTCTTTTCGCCTGTGACGTCATCTTTCCAGGTGCCCGCCGATCATGCTCTCCTGTGCTGCCCATTTGGCGTTTTTGTATATAATCGCACTTTGCCTCCATTTACACGCACCCTCTTTAAAGGCAGCATTAATTTGTATAATGATAATGCTAATGGTATTAATGATAATGCTGATAAATTATCTTATAGGCTCACGTGCTTTACTAGGATTATGAGCAGGTATCAGTAAATTTCATTTTAATGCCATCATCATAATATTGGACATATGACTAATAAATAACAGTCATTTGGCAAAATATTGAAAAAATTACTTTAAAAACTCTTTTTTCGCATACAAACTTTAATTTATATACGAATCGCATTATCTACTAAATAAAAAGGAGTATTTAATTACATTTCTCCTTGGCAAGACATGCAATAAAACCCGCAACACTGCAGCCACTGCATGCACCTTTTTCATTTCATTAACATATAAAACTGGAAAATGAGTAGTACAACGAGCACATACATTACTACGATGTTGATATTGTTGTGTACACTATATAGTTGTGTATGCTACATATTATATGATGCCAGATACCACATACATTGTTGATGTGATAGCTGAGACTGACATAAAAACAAATGCAGAGGGTTTGGATTAAAAGACAGATATATGTGAATAAGTAAATGATACGTGATAAATATCAAGCAGCGAAGAAAACAAGAATATACCGAAGGCCTTTTCTCTCTGTTGCTTTTCTTCAGGAACAACTTCTCGTCACCCAATTCGGAGGAGGCACTGAGGTGAAGAGTGTGCCTATTATTTTTCGAGTAATGTGACGAAGAGTGTGAACGCTACTTTTCGAAAAGTGAAATGGAGAACGAATCATTAATACAGAGACCCCATAGTTAAAGTCGTGCCCACAATGGTCTCTCTAGGGATAGTACGGGTAAAGTGCAGGTAAAGATAAATCCTCGATCGTGTTCCAATTCACACGTTTGGGAGGTGGGTGACGAGCAAGACTAAAGAGAGGGCAGCACAGGCGGGGTAACGCGAGTAACTCACCGAAATACCGACGAAGTGTTCCTGAAAGGGGCACGCTTTGAAGGACTCGATCTAACATTTTTAAAGAAGAGAGGGATACAAGTTGATCGCCATGTTTTGTTTTTTCTTCTTATCTTCTTTTTCGAGTGTCGCGCGATCCCTGTCTCTCGTGCGAACGTGGCTTTCAACAAAACCGCCTCGTGACTTCAACCAGCATCATGCAGCTTTCAGGCAAACGTATAAACTCATATTGCTGTCCACACGACATTCAGTTAAAGCCCGGCATTAACAAGACGAGGTACCTGACGAGGTTGTGTGTAGTACAATTAACAAGATGATCTCATGTCTAGAAATAATCTTACGTGAGCAGCTATGCCATTCTGATGACTATGGAATAAAGGAAAAACGTTGATCCTTATCAGTACGGTAATTCAAAAGGCAGTTCAGCTACATATAATCTGGTTTAGCACCTGGATAGATTACTAGATGTCATAGATGAACTGAAGCACATTCCATTTGAAAAAAATGTACATAACTGGTCATCGCTTTCTTTCTTTCTTTCAGGCCGCAAGCAGAGAGTATGTTTTGACGATTACATATCAGGCTGGGATGAAACAGCTTGTGGTATGTTACAAGGGACACGGTTAGGGCCTATCATTTTAATTTGTAATGACATACTCAAAAGAATGTTTACGGCAAATATGTAGACGGTTGAACCCTTCCAGAAATTATAGATATGACGTATAGTTTAACGTGTAAGAATCGTCAAAACATCTTACAGATGAACACTTAAAAAATATATATATCGGCAGACGATGTGAAAATATCTTATGTTGTTCCAGCTATGAGACCGACCGCATTTCCTGTTTTCCTGACTTTTACCGACCATCAGCTAATTTAAATCCCTTTATCTCCCCATTGATAACAACCCAACTATAATAACCAAATAAATCATCTAATCATTTAGGTTAACAAACGTGTACTCATCCTGTACAAAAGTCATTTCGATTTTGGTACTACAGGCATCATGATCATTCTGTTACTACCTCAATCTTGCATCCTTTGAATATGTACCACCTGCCTTGCAACAGGGACTGACCTAAAGACATAATAGAACCTGCATTAAAACTGACAATTCGGAAGACTAATACTTGCAAGAATCCTGCATCTAAAAACAAGAAAGAAGGAAAAGAAAAAGCAAAAGAAAAAAAGTAGAAGGATAAGAAAAAAACGAAGGAAAAGCAAAACACACACACACAAAAAAAAAACACAATGAAGAAAAAAAAGGACGGAAAAGAAAAAACAGAAAGAAAAAAAATGCAATTAAGATTTCTTTTTTTTGTATCAGGTACAGTCCATAGTGAAATACCTATAATTCGACTCTTGTATCCGAAAAAGATGTCAGCAGCGGGTCACGTGTTTCGGAAATGGCGCTTAACACATTAGCAACACCTGATGGTTATGTTGGAAGTGGGGGGGGCGGGGACTGAGCATAAAATTATTCAAAGGTTTAGATAAACATATATATCCCTGTAGGTACAAAATCAATAGTTCAAGATCCTCTGTGATACACACACACACACACACACACACACACACACACACACACACACACACAACACACACACACACACACACACACACACACACACACACACACGCCCAATTTACGTCTTCAAGTTCAGCTCCTCGATGGTCAGTTCCCGCATCTTGAACTTCTGTATCTTGCCCGTGACCGTCCGTGGGAACTCGTCCTTGAACAGCACGTATCGGGGGACTTTATAATGGGCGATCTGGAATTTCGAAAGGAGGACATTTTTAGATAGTTGTAAATATGGTTGTGGTTTTTCCTGTCTATCATAATTAAATGTTTCGAAAAAAAGATTTTTTTTGGATAGTTGTAAATATGGATGTGATTTTTTTCCGTCTATTATAATTAAATGTTTCGTAAGGATTTTTTTGGATAGTTGTAAATATGGATGTGATTTTTTCCGTCTATTATAATTAAATGTTTCGAAAGGAGGAAATTTTTTGGATAGTTGTAAATATGGATGTGTTTTTTTCCTGTCAGAATTAAATGTGTCGTTTCCATTTTATTCTTAGCATAAAATGAATCGTATTCTTGGGTGTAGTTATAAATCTAGGTTAGTAGAATAACTGATTGCTAATGTCAGTCGACCAGAATACACTCTAAATTAACTGCAATTTCCCGAGTACAAGAGGCAATAAAATCCATAACGAAGGGACGAAGAAGCGCATACCTTCCCCTTGCACCATTCCCGGAGCTCCGCGTCCGAAAGGCTGGAATCCTCGGCTTTTCTGATCCAAGTCGCCACCTCCTCCCCCATCCTGGCGTCGGGCACTCCGAACACCTGCGTCCGAAGAAGGTTTTTGAATTTTATGGGAAGAAAATTACATGACAATTTCAGGTAATGACTGCTAAAATTTTGACATATTGGTCTCTTGCATGCTATGATTATGGGTAAATTCCCTCAGTACCTGGAAATTTTGAAAACACGAAAGGCAAGAAAAAGTGTAAATTAGTAACCTATCTATCATCGCAAACTTATTTATATTCTATATAATTTGCATAATCGCATGCAATATCAGACTCCGAAGCTCTTGCAAACAAAACAAAACTTCCGAACCACCTGTCCGCAAATAAAAAAATCAACAACTAAAAACCGCCCTTAACCACACCCAACAAAACCCATTATAAATAACATACACACCCCCTTTTCCCCTCTTCATAAACAAATCAACAACAACGAAAAACCGCCCTGAACCACACCCATCTAAACCCATCATAATAACCCCCCCATCCATTCTATAAACACCACCTAAACCCATAATCCATTACCCCTCCCCATCCCTTCTATAAACACCCACCTAAACCAATAATACATAACCCCCCCTTCCCTTCTATAAACACCCACCTAAACCCATACTACATAACACCCCCCCCATCCTTTCTATAAACACCTAACTAACCCCATAATACGTAACCCCCCCCCTCCCTTCTATAAACATCCAACTAAACCCATAATATATAACATACACCCCCCTCCGTTCTATAAACACCCACCTAAATCCATAATACATAATCCCCCTCCCCCTCCCTTCTATAAACACCCAACTAAACCCATAATACATACCCCCCCCCTCCCCCTTCTATAACCACCCCGACACCCAAATCCACAACCCAAGCCCACCTGCGCCTCGATCACGTCCGGGTGACCCATGAAGAAGTTCTCGACCTCCGCCGGGTAGATGTTCTCGCCGCCGCGGATGACCATGTCCTTGATGCGTCCCAGGAAGCGTCCGTACCCGTCTGGCTGGATAAGGACGAGGTCGCTGGAAAGGGGAAGTCCTTATCAACCTCGTGTGGGAAGATCTGGAGCTTCGTTTCGGGGGATTCATTCGCGTGGGTTGAATTCTAGTGAATGTTTAAACGGGTTATCCGTCGTAATTTTATCTACTTATTTATCTAGGATTAATAATATCATTATTAACATAATAATTTTTATCACTACCATTATTATATCTTTATCTTTTCCATTATTATTTCCCTTATCCTTATTATCATTATGTTCCTTATCCTTATTATCATTATTATTATCATCAATATCATCATCACTATGAGCAGTATCATCTTTATCATCACTATAATTATTATTACCATTACCCGTATTATCATCACTATAATTATCATTATCTTCTTTATCACCCCCTATCATTATCATCATTATCACCATCATCATCATGACCACCATTACATACCAAGCGATAACCCACAACAGCAACACCGAATCACCACCACAACGATGAAACCACAAACTACCCACCCCGTCCTCCTCATTATTTTCATTATTATCATTATTATTATTATTATTATCATCATTATTGTTATCACTATCAGCATTATCATTATCATCTTTATTATCCCTATTATCATTATCGCCGAATCACCCCCACAACGAAGAAACCACGAACCACCCACCCGTCCTCCTCATTATTATTATTATTATCATTATTATCTCTATCAACATTATCATTATCATCTTTATTATCCCTATTATTATCATAGCCGAATCACCCCCACAACGAAGAAACCACGAGCCACCCACCCCGTCCTCAGCCACCTGTCCTCCGTCACGATCTCCCTCGTCTTCCCGGGGTCGTCCCAGTAGCCCAGGAAGTTGCAGTAGCCTCGCACGAGCAGCTCGCCCGCCTCGCCCGCGCGCACGATCGCCCCGGACTCGTCGACCACCTTCACCTGCCGAGGGGACGGGGAATCAGCTGATCTGGATTCGTTTGGTGGGAATGTGTTAGGAAATGAAAAAAAGAAAATAAATAGGGTGAATACGAAAGTGTATGGGTTAGATGTGGAAGTTAAAATAGTAATGACAGTGGGTTTTTATATAGTAATATCTGTATCTATTTATAAATGCATGAGGAAAGGAAAGGAAGAGGGATAGCAAGGATTTTCCCGGGATCGTCGACCACCTTCACCTGCCGAGGGGACGGGGAATCAGCTGATCTGCCTTCGTTTGGTGTGAATATGTTAGGAAATGAAAAAAAGAAAATAAATAGGGTGATAACGAAAGTGTATGAGTTAGAAATGGAAGCTAAATCATAATGGCAGTAAATTTTATATGGCAATATTTATACCTATTCATCTCTGCACGAGGAAAATAATGGAATAGGCATACTGAGGATAATCTCTTACCATTTTCACCTGGCGAAGGGACTGGGAATAAGTTTTCTAGCTTCGATTGGTTTAAATGCATTGGTAAATGGGAAAAATACATAAAGTGAATATGAAAATATATTAGAAATAAAATATAAGCTAGTAATAGCAAGATATTCTTACCAATATCCGTACCTATCTATCTATCAATCTATTCATTACTGAGGCAGATAATGGAATAAGCAGAGCGAAAATTTCCCCAGGCTTGTCGACCACTTTCACCTGCCGAAGGGACTGGGGAATCAGCTGATCTGGCTTGGTGTGAATTTGTCGGTAAATAAAAAAGAAAATACATAAAGTGGATCTTCAAACACGTAAGTTAGGAATATTCGTAAAGAACCGATAGCTCATTTTGTGATACATTTATTTGGTAAATATATACCATATTCGTAATGAACCGATACCTCAATGTGGGTAAACATATCACACACGTAATTAAACGATACAATAAGTCGTATATATATCACCTATACGTAACGAACCGATACCTCAGTGTCGTATATCTATCGCATATGCGTCAAGAACCGATACCCCGACGTGGTAAATACATCACATACCCGTAATTAAAAGATACTCAGTGTCGCTTAATTGCCACATAATCGTAGTGAACCGTTACCTCAATGTGGTAAATATATCCCATACACGTAATTAAACGATACTCAATGTGGTAAATATATCACATATCCGTAATGAAACGATACCTCAGTCTATCACACACTCGTAATTAAACGATACTCAGAGTCGTATGTCTATCAAATATCCGTAATGAACCGATACCTCGATGTGGTCTCCCGGGTAGCCGATGGTGGATGACCTGACCTCTGGAGGATCTGAGGGAAAGCACTGGAAGGTCACGGGACTCGTCTCGGTCATCCCGTACATCACCTGCAGAGGACGAGGGTCATCTTTATCATCGTTAATTGTTTTCGCCATTAACGCCATGTTGGTTAATTTAGGATATTATAATTATTGTATCCAGCGGGGCCACAGTCATTACTTAATACCATTATTGCCATTTTACTATCGTTATTATTGTATTAAGTATTGTCATAAGTTATTGGTTAATGATATATTCTACAGAAATATCAGTATCAACTGTTGATTTATTGCTATTCGTTGTTATATTGTTATGGGTATTATAATCACTTATCTATCAACTTATCGCTAGTTGTTGTTATATCGTTATATTCTTCAGTATCAGTTAGGGATTTAGTACAATTGTTACACTGTTGTGGTAATTCTTCACTATTCATTATTATGTTAATTTCCTCATTCTCAGTTTTGTACTGTCATCTTCACTACTTTAACAGTTTTATTTGTTTCTGTTTTAATCTTTATGTTGTTTCGTTCATCATTAACAATTTCATATCAAGTTCAGTAGTGCCAATCGTTATCTTGATATATTAATCACTATCAACTGATAAATGCATCCCTATTACTCATTAAACTATTACGTTTTCTTCCTAGAATCACTAAATCCAATACTCCTATAAAATACCCATTACTATCAATTTCAACAATTTACCCTAATCCTCCACCACATTCCCAAAATAAATAAACAAATAATTAAATAAATAAATTAAATAAATAAATAAAATACAAAAAAAAGGTGCTTACAAAAGTCCTTCATTTTGAGTTCGTTCATGACGGCCATCACCAGTTCCTGAGGACAAGGAGCGCCTGCCATGATTCCCGTCGAGATGGCGCTCAGATCGGTCGGGTTCTTGCGGTAGGCGTTCAGAATGTCAACAAACATGGTGGGCGTTCCGTAGCAGGAGGTGATTCTGTTTTGGTGGAGAATTCGTTATGGATTCAATAGCGAAAGCGTAATAGCGAATTGGACTTGACTTGATTGATTGATTTTCTCTCTATCTCTTGTCTGCCTGTATCTGTCTCTCCTCTCTGTTCTCTCTCTCTTCTCTCTTGTCTCTGTCTCTGTCTCTCTCTCTGTCTATGTCTCTCTCTCTCTCTCTCTCTCCGTCTCTGTCTTTCTTTCTTTCTCTCTGTCTATCTCTCTCTCACCATCTCTTCTACATGGAAAGAACCTTTAAAAAAACCCACAGAGAACACCAAAACTCCACAAACTTTTCACTTCCGAGTGTCCTGACGATGGCATCGGGGTCAAAGCCGGCACTGGGCATGACGCAGGTGGCCCCGTACAGCATGCCACAGACGGTACCCGCAACGCATCCAAAACAGTGGTACAGAGGCACGGAGAGGCATATACGGTGAGGCTGGGGAAATATAGGCCTATATTTTATTCTATGTGCCATTTTCAGGAACGTAATAAACATTTTGAAACATGTAATTCCATATGGCTCTTAGAAAACCGAAGATAATGGCGTTGATCTTTTAAAAAATAATTGGAATCTTAAATATACGAGACAATGGAGCTATACTTTTTTTTTTTTTTTTTTTTTAATCACGAGAGGTTTGTTTACCTTTTCGCCGTACCCGATGCGCTTCCCGATGTTGTGGTACGCGTTGTTCACGATCTGGTGGTGGGACAAGACAGCTGCTTTGGGCAAACCGGTCGTTCCCTGAGACAAATTGTTCCAGGTTATTGAGACGTTATTGGTCGCTTTTAATTACTTGTTCGTAAAGAGGGCGATAAAAATAACTATAGTGATGTACGATCAACAAACTCCAATGCACATTACCTGTTACAAGGCTTCCTAGTATATGAATTAGATAACAGAGTATTCAAACATCCTGTACGGATTGGACCATTGGCCAATTATACAATCTAAACATATATTTTCCCATGATAGTGATTAAGAACTGGATTTGACTTTAGCTGCTGCTCCTTTATTTCCCAAATCCTAAAAGAAAACACGTTACTGTCTAGATACTCACGGATGTATACTGAATGTTGCAGGCTGAATCGAACTGTATCTTAGAGGACAGCTCATCAACCTTCTTACGGTGGGAACTCTCGCCCGCTTCGTAAAGATCTGCGAATCTGAAGGTGCCACTGCAAAAAGAGGCACTCGTGAGCCCTAGTGCCTAGCTGAGTGAGGAAGTTCTTATGATATTGACGAAACTTCTAAGCGTTTCAGTCTTTTTTTTTTTGCTTTTCCTAGAACATATATTTGACAAGAGAAATATTTTTTTTATTACTAAAGGAAGAATAAAATTCTTTAACAGCAAACAAACCCAAATAATCTTTGTATTTCCTCTACATAATCGCTCCTAGACTTGGTGTTGCTAAATAAAAACAGTGATGAGGATCGTCAACTTCTAAAAAAAAAAAATCATAACAATAATGAAAACATCTCACCTTAATTTTTCTTGAGATCGGAAGAAAACTTTCTTAAGGTGCGGGAGCGTGGCGCTGCTTAGGTCACCCGGCACAGAGGAAGGCAGCTCGGGGGCCAGGGCGCACAGCATCTTGTAGTAACTGGGGAGGTCATCTTAGGTCATCTTGAGTGTAAAATTAGATTTACACTTCGTTTCTTTGGGTTAGCATTTATATGTCATTATTAAAGCTTAGCTAAAAAACAAACATAATGTAATGATTCCGAAATAGATTGAGCAATAAGACAATTACTGAAAATTGGACAGAATAATAATAATAATATAATTACTACAAAAAGGATAAAACAATAACACGATTACTTCAAAACAGATAGAACAACAACATAAAGACTACAAAATTGACAGAAAAATAACAATTACCGCAAAACGGACAGAACAATACCAGCGTTACTACGACATATAAAACAATAACAATAACATCCGGTCCCTGTCTTCACTCATCGACTTACTCTGACGTTTTGAACTCCTCATCGCACACAATGCCTTTGACGCCGACTTTGTTGAGGCAATATTCGAGTTCACTGGGACGGTAGGCGGGGTTGATGTTGACCTGCGGGTTGCGATGGATCAGGGTCATAAGGTGAGTAAGGTCATGTGGATGCTATACAGTGGAGAAAAGAGAATTGGGTTTCATAGCTGGATAAAAACTGGGAGAGACAGTGTAGGGACGGTAAGGAAGAAATATATTCAAAATGGTGAGCACAGTTGTAATTCAGACTGATAAACAATAGAAAAAAATGGTAATCAGTCTGAAGAAAAAGAAGAAGAAGAAGTTTGGGAAAGGAGAAGAAAAGAAGAAGTTTGAAAGGAGAAGAAGAAGAAGAAGAAAAAGAAGAAATCTGAAAAAGAAGAAAGAAAGAAAAGAAACGAAAAGAGAAAAGAAGACCCTACACGATAATGCTGATCAAAAAAACTGTTTAATAGTAGAATAAAAGACAGGGACATCACAACACAAAATTTTCATCAATTTCTTCTCAGTGCGACAGTCTTTCATTTCATTTATGGACTCATTATGTTCAAAAAGAGGCATGTCGTCTTGTGAAGAACCCTTAAGACAATGCCAATGGTTATCTCTTGTTAAATATCAATACTACCATTGCAATTACTGCATCACGATCACTAATGTTATTCAGAAATCATATTCCCTTTGGACGCAACGACTATAGAGCTTGACGGAAATAAAAGAGTGCTGGAGCTATATTAATCTCATCTACTTTTTTAATTAACAATAACCACTTCGAAAATTGTGTTCTGTTTAAGAGGCAGACTAGAAAATAATGTCAAATCCCTGATCTACTTCTGTACACCGATCTTGGGGGCGTTGTGTGTGTGTGACTGTGTTTTAAGCGTAAGACTGAGAGGGAATTGACAACAGGATTACGCATTAATTCTTGTCACACTTTGCGGATAATGCAGAAACTGACATTGCAGCTCGATCTTTTTCTCACTGAAATTGAGTCTTGTGACTCTTTGTAACCTCAAGTTAAATGAAAAAGAAATGAACTTGAAGGTTATTTATTGTCTGAAAAAATAAATAAACTTTCTCTCGCCTTTGTGCCTTTTATTGTGTACGTGCTTTTCACCTTATCTCTATTAACGTAATTCAGGTTCTGAGCTACAACTAAAGAGGCTAAGGAAACAATTGCATCTCAGTTACACAGGGACGGCAACTTCTAAGTTACTTAATCCGTCTCTCTCTTCCAATACCCCTAACACACCTATTTTCTTATATATTCTGTTTTATCTCTTCTTGTCTCCTTTCTTCCCACATTCCTCAGCCCTCTTCCTTTTCCTTACCAGAATGAGGCCAGCCTTGGCGGCGGCGAACTGCGTGAGGTACCACTCGTAGCTGTTGGGTCCCCAGATCCCCAGGCGGTCCCCGGGCTCCAGTCCTGCCGCCAGGAATCCCGCGGCCACGAGGTCGCTCTGCCGACGGAACACAGGGCCACAGGGCGCCTCGTTAGGACGGCATCGCCACAGGGAAAGCTCTTACGATTAGACGCAACTTGGCCGACAGATCGACGCCATATTGAAAAGCGAGGGACGAATCCAAGTGACACTCAATTCAGGCACCAGAACCCCTTCCCTCTTCCCTCCGCCATTACCTCCTCCTTGACCTGCGAGAAGGTCCTCCTCACGGCCTGATGGACCGACACGACGGCCTCCCTGTCCCCGAAGCGCCGCTCGGCCCTGTCCACAACCTGCCCGATGGAGAGGCCCAGCAGCGGCTCCGAGCTCGGCGTCGACACGTAGCTCCACTCGAAGGGCGCGCCGCTCAGCCACCTGCGGGAGGGAGACGTGAGTGCATTCCTGCCTTTCCCCGAAGCTACAAAAGTAAGTCAGAGGAAAAATGGTAAATTCTGAAACGACGACCGATAAGAAGAAAAATTAGAACTACAAGCTAAAAGACACCAAAAGAAAGAGAAAAAGAAGAGGAACCACAAATCATGACACCAGATTGCATATATTACACAATGCGTGCCAAGGAATCCTTACTAAAACCGGATGGGCCATTTAATGTTCAAGTTAAGATTCGGAGTCAGTGCTGAACTTCATTAAAAAAAATCCAATGACAGGGTCTCGTAGCTACATCATCCAGGGTAACATGATAAGATAAAAAAAATATCAAGAAGGCAATAATTTACCGGTCATTAACCCTTGCATAGAGCGTACAATGTCAACAAAAACAATAGATAAATATTCAAGAAATAATAAACTAAATTGCCGTACTTATCTGATCGGGTTATCATTGAGAAAAAAAAAAAAAATAAAATATTAAAATCTATGCAATATTAGCGGCTTTGGTAGTGACAAAGATCATGACAACGTCAGGGGCGGTCTGGCATCATAATTGCAGGGTGACAAGCAAACCAAAATGGCCCGGTTCAGGGTGTAGCAGATAAGATATTTTAACCACTAATAAAGGAATCACTTTAAATGCGTTCAGTCGATATCTGAATTGACTGAAAGATACGCCGAAAGGAAACTATGTTTACCCTTTGCACGTTTTGTACTTTATTGCATCAAACGCCCTTTACCTTACATATCTGATGGCCCTCTGATACGTACACCGAATATTTGCGGATGCGGGTGTTATGCGGGTATCTTTCATATTTGCAGACTGTGTATACTGGTGAGGTGGACAATGGGGGGGAAAGAGAAAAGAAAAAAACAGCAAAGAGAGAAAGAAAGTAAGAAAGAAAGAGGGAGAGATGGATTCCTCTCAGTATCAACTACCAACGTATATGTCGAAATTACGCCACGGATCCACCTCCCCTTATCCACAACCTTGGCCCCAATAGCAGGCATGGGAATTACTAGGAAAATTTCTGGGTAAAATGTAAATAACATACACTACACACCAAAGGATCCACTTGGTGTGTACGGCAGGGTAGAATGTAGGGTATACTGGGCATCAGACACTCCCAGGCACAGTGATTATACTATGAACATATATCATACACCTATATATCACCCCCCACCCCCCTGTGGATATACTACAACCCTTCCCCCCTCCAGACTGCAAAATATATCCGGTGTATGCACGCCAGAGCAATAGCCAATCACATGTGTATAGAAATACCCTGAGTAACGGCATACTAACCCACGATATAGTCAGCATGACATACTGACTAGAATGTGGAATATTTAAGATCATCGTCATCTATTAGGTTAGTATATTATAATTCCTAGGGTCTATTTGGCAATGTTTACTTTGCATGTCGGTCGCACTTTCTAAACTGGTTTTAATACGTGGATTCTTTGTCTTTAGGGCGAGGGTTGGGGGGGGGGGTAGCATTAGGCAATATAGTGACATATTCTGTGTATATTATCATCATAATGACGGCGTATTTGGTGTCAGTTATGAATAGTTTAGCCCGCAATTCCCCTGGTACGATTGGGACAAGAATGTAGGGGTGGGGTAGGGGGGTGGGGGGTATGTTGTTCTGAATATTTCCTTATAAATGCGTAATTTTTAATAATGGTGATAATGTCAGTAATAACAACAAAATCCGTGACATATTACGATAATGATATAACGTTTATCATCACCATAACTAGTGGTAATAGTATTTGTAATAGAAGTTGTAGTACTCTAGTAGCAGTAGTAGTAGCAGCAGTATTATCATAACCACCATCATTATCATTATTATTATTATTAATAGTAACTGCAAAAACGTTAGTACTGGTAGTAGTAGTAGTAGTAGTGCTAATCCTAATCTACTACTACAACCACATTTCAACTACTACTACAAATACTACTGCTACTTCTAATAGTATTACTGGTGTAATTATTGCTGTTGATGCTAATAAAAACAATAAATTTTCGTATCGCGCTTTCATACACTTGCGTGTCCAATAACCTCTTTATCTTTGTTTCACTGAATCATTCGCTATATCGTTTGCATAAATTTACGTATAAAAGATGGCTGGTTTGATACTCGAACCTCACCAAAATACTATATACAAATACTTTTCAATTTGAACGACAATTATTTATTTCGCTGACTCTAAAATAAGATTATTCAGTATCAAAACTAACAACTAACAACTGACATATCTGTTTACCATTTTGGGGCATGTACATTCAATTACTGGAATTTGTCAATTTTCCTTTGACCGTAAATAACAATAGATATGATTATTTTTTCTGCATAAGTCGGTCACCCAAACTTGTACAATAGTTCTCCACATTTTGATCTTACCAGAAACAAAACAAAATCACAAGTTACCTTCTCCACGCCCCCAGGAGAGGCCAAGGGCGTCTTCTGTGGAGGAAATGCGCGCACACCCTCCCACGGGATGCCATGACGTATGAGGAGTTCAGCATCCCACAGGCCATCTGTCAGGGAACTAGAAAGTAGAAACAGCTGATGGCGGAGATGCGCTGGGTTGTCCTCATTACGGTAGTCTTTCTTTCCGCGCATTTTCATTGGCTATCGTCCTGCGTTGTGATTGGCTAACGTGTTTTCTGTTTACTTTGGTGAGACGGCAAACTAGGGTAAATTCTCAAATCACGAAAATAATCATTTCGCTTATTATAAAGAAATGTCTTCATTTGCTCTGTTTGACTATCCTTACGTTAACTTGAGTATTTCTGTACGGTGTGCTTCGCGTTGTCCCAAAACGGTCAGTGAACGGTTTCGCCACGCAATGCAGCTATCAGCTGATTATTGTAAACAACATATTCTTTCCACGGAGAACAGTCTCGCGTAGGGTGAGAGATTATTTACTTTTCCTAATCTAAAAATGA